AAAAAAAAAAAAAAAAAAAGAAAATCACTTTACATGTTCACACTCTGACTTAGTAGTCTTAAAATGTAAAAGCCAGACCTGTCAAATGTAAAATTAAGGCAAATCATAAAATCTGGTACTCAGAAGAGGGGATAACTCAGGCTCCATCTCATTGTTGAGAGTGGCAATGCCAGGATAGCTTTGACATTCTCACCACCTTCTCTGCACCACAGATGACAAAACTCAAAGGCAAATGTCAGCCTTTTGAGTTTATCAGACTTTCTCCTACACTGGAGTTTTAATATACCCATAACGATGTAATACAAAACAACCAGCTCTATTTAAACTCTCTGAACTTCAGTGTCTTCATCTTTATTCTTTTAGGAATAAAAACACCTATGGCAGCCATTCTTGCCTTCTTCCTAATAGAAGCAGGCTTCCAGAGAACTCCTGATCTCTGGGAAGGTGGGCTGAGCCACCCCCCCCAAAGATGTCCATGTCCTAATCCCCAAAAATTGAATACGTTAACTTACATGGTAAAAAGGAATTGCACCTGGGTGAACCCAGTCATAGCACAGAGCCCTTAAAAGCAGGGAACCTTTGCCAACAGGCATCAGAGATATAACAGCAAAAGAGGCAAGAGCTATTTAAAGCATGAGAAGGACTCAACTACCACTGCTGGCTTTGAAGACAGAGGAAGGGATCCATAAGTCAAGGAATGCACATGGCCTGTAGGAACCAAGAAGGGCCCTCACCTGACGGCCAGCGAGGACACAAGGTCCTGTCCTCCAGACACAAGAAACCGAACTCTGCCAGCAACCTGAATGGGCAAGAAAACAGATTTTCTCCAGAGCCTCCGGAAAGGAGCACAGACCTGCTGACACCTTGATGGAGCCAGTGAGACCCAAGCTGGACTTCTGACCTCCAGAGCTGTGAGATGACAAATGTGTGTTGTTTTAATCCATGCCATTTGTGGAACTCTGTCATGGCGGTGAGGAAAAACGAATCCCTGGGGTAGGCATGTGACATAGCTCTGGTGAAGGGAGAGAAGGGGAACCAAGGGATGGAAGGAGAGTTTGGGCAAGACACTGGAGGAATGCTCCACCCCACATGCTGTCTGCACCCTGTGTGTGGAGACACTGAGGCCTGCAGGTCCTGCATCATCCTGCAACTGTGGAAGATGCTCAGGAAGACAGCGGAGCCTGCCATTGCTGAGCCACTCCATGAACACCAGCCAGAGCCTCCCTCCAGGTACCTTATTATGAGAAAAACAAACTCAGCTTGTTGAAGTTCCATTTAGTCAGGTGTTATTACTCCCAGCAGCATTTCTAGCTGACAGAACACCTTCTTGCCAGGGGTGTTTTGAGGGTTAACTAAGATAACATGAGAAGCTCGGAGTAATGTTCTCACACCATGGAAGTGCACACTATGTGAGCTTTCCCTTCCCTGTACCATGCTGATACTCACTCAGGATGGTTGGCAAAATATTAAGGGAAATATTAGGGAAAGTTGTAAGATTATAGTCTCAAACCTTTTGGAAGGCCAAAAGGTTTTCATTCACAGGCTGAAGGCAGCCAGTTCTTTGGTTACAGCAGTAGGTCATAGGGTGAAGACTAGGGATAACAGAAGCTCCCCCAGTTAAGTCTGTTTACCCCACATTCCTTTGTCTCTATTTGTTTACTCAAGTAAACTTTGTACTGGATGGCCCTCTCAGGCGGAGGTCACGAAGGGGGATTACCCATTCATGGGCCCCAGAAAGAAAATCTTTTATCATTTATAAAACCACTCTTTAAGCCATGTTAATTAGCCAAGAGCCTGTTGACTTAGAACCTCTGTTATTAAACAGATACTGAACAAATGTAAGGAGGAAGTTAGAAGGGATCAGGTAGCTGCAATCGCCCTCTGAGAACAGGTGACAACCTCCCTAGCCCACTAAATCACTATACTCTGGCGTGTGAGTGTATTTTACCCATCCATCACTAAGACAGGGTCTGCAGGACAGACCTCTGCAGGTAGTGATCAACATCTCACTTGATGACCACATAAACTATGACTTCAAAGCCTCCTCTATTTTTTATTTTCTGTCACTGTCTCCTTTTCGCTTCCTTGATATTTATTTTATCAAGTAAAATATCGCACCACTATGAGAGGCTTCTCAAACCCTTTATTTCCAAAAACATAGAAATCTCCTTTCAAGTTCCCCACAGATACGAGTCCAAATAGAAGCTATTTTCACAAAATTACAAACAACACAACCCTCTCTTATCTCTTATCTAATCCCATACACTAAATCTAACATCTGCAACTTTTCATGCCCTAAATCTGTCTATGAGTTCATTAATTCAGTGAATGAGATGTCAACTCATTCATTTAATCAATCAACATTACAGCATGCCTACTCTGCAGCAAAGATGCCTAACAGGATGGAGGCATGACGCGTAGGGGGATGAGGGAAAGACAGAGCGAAAAGGAGACAGTGACAGAAAATAAAATGTAAATAGAAGAAAGAAAAGAGAAGTGAGCATGTAGAGGTGGTGGTGCAGTCCACCGTGGCGATAAAAGCGGCAGCTGCAGCTCCACAGACGCCCCGTCCCTGGCAGCATGTGCCCTAGGAGTCCTCTCTCCAGCCCATTAATGGCGACAATGGCTCTCCCTTTCTGCAAAACTAGCCAATATGCATGGGCAACTTCATGTGGTTGGTGCTCTTTTGGTCAAGGATACACTTCGAAGAGACAAACTCAAATTCTTCCTTATTTCTCATTTTGGAGAAAAAACACACACACACATATACACATACACACCATAAACAAGTTACATGTGACAGCTTATGAAACCACCAGTATCAAGACTACCAGTATCATTCAAAATGCAGGATGGGCTGGGCACAGTGGCTCACACCAATAATCCTAGAACTTTGGGAGGCTAAGGCAGGAGGACTGCTTGAGCTCAGGCATTCGAGACCAGAGTTATGGGTAACATAGTATGTCCTTGTTTCTACTAAAAAATAAAAAAGGCCAGGTGCGGTGGCTCACGCCTGTAACCACAGCACTTTGAAAGGTCAAGAAGAGCGGATCACGAGGTCAGGAGTTCAAGACCAACCTGACCAATCTGGTGAAACCTCAACTCTACTAAAAATACAAGAATTAGCCAATTTTGGTGGTGCATGCCTGTAGTCGCAGCTACTCAGGAAGTTGAGGCAGAAGAATCACTTGAACCCGGGAGATGGAGGTTGCAGTGAGCTGAGATCACGCCACTGCGCTCCAGCCTGGGCAATGGAGTAAGAGGTCATATTAAAATAAATAAATAATAAAACATAAATTAGCCAGTCATGATGGCACATGCCCCCGTAATTCCAGCTACTTAGGAGGCTGAAGTAGGAGAAGCACTTGAGCCTGGGAGATCAAGGCTGCAGTGAGCCATGATCGTGCCACAGCACTCCAGCCTGGGTGACAGAGCGAGACCTTGTCTCAAAAATAAATAAATGCATTATAAAAAGATACTTTTATTAACCTACTGCACTCTTGGCCTTTAGCTTTTTAAAACAGCTTTTGTCCATAACAACAATTCTCAACTGGGGGTGATCGTTTCCCCCCAGGGGACATGCGGCAATACTTGAAGACGTTTTTGGTCATCACAACTGAGGAGGGTTAGTACTGGCATCTAATAGGTAGAGCCCAGAGATGCTGCTAAACATCCTACACTGCACAGGGCAGTCCCCACAATACACCCAAAATGCCAATAGTGACAATGCAGAGAAACCCTAGTCTGTAGCTTGTCTGCTACTCTGGACCTACCACCTGATCCATGGGGTCGCTGGAGTAGTAGTTTTCTGAATGAGTACATCGAATCCACACAGGCTTAAGAAGTTCTTCCTCCTCCTCCTCGTTCTTGTCTGGCGTCGTCTCCTCAGGCTCTTTTTCCTTGATTGAGGTATAGTTCTTGTCTTTGCCAGAGCTCTGGTTGTCGCTCCACCTGTCTTTTTCTTCCTCCCAACGAGCTCTCTTCTTCTCCCTACTCGGGGAGCGACTTCAAAAGAGGGCAAAGGAGGTTATTAATTATTAAATATACTCTTCCATTCTAAAAACTATTCTATTT